AAAGCGCCTGTTGTATTAAACGCCTCGCGCTTCCCGACACTTCTCACGCCGGTCCAGCACAGCGCAGGGAAGACTGGCCGGCGTGCCTGCCTGCCCGGCCGAGCCCGCCCTGGCCTGTGCCCTCGTGGAAGAAGGTTGTCCATACCTGGGTCCTCCTGCAGGTGCCTCTGGACCTCGACCCCTGGTTCCCAGGTTCTCCCTGTGGCCACTCAGTCCTCCAGCACATTGCCATGTGCTTGGATTTTCTTGTTGGTTCTGATTCAAACAATCAAGGCAAAGCCGCACTGGTGGCCACCCGTCCCCACTGTGAGAGGCCTGTGTCCAGGAGGCGGGTCTGTAGTTGCCTGGCCCCGGCCTGCACAACGGACCATGGCGCTGACCCCAGACCCTGGGAACAAGGAGAGTCACGTCCTTCTATGACTCCTGGTCCCTGGGAGGACCCACGAGAGAACTAAAGGAGTCGTTCCAGGTCCGAAAGCCATGAGGGCGTGTGTGCAAGCCCCTGCGTCCCCTGTGTGGGCTCCGAGTTCCAGCACCCGCTGAAGCCCAGCGTCAGGGTGGGCACCGCTGCTGGTGTGCAAACAGCATCATCCAGGAGCAGCTCCCGCAGGGACTTGGGTCTGAAGGCAACACCGAGGGAAATACGTGATTTTGTTGTGCTCCCTCCTTTATTCAACACTACAGGTCTTCCTTTAACTTGAGTCGTAATGGTGAACTAGAAGCCCGTGGGCGTCTTCCTCTGAGATAGCGGCCACGGCAGCTGCAGCCAGCAGCTGAGTAAGAAGCGCCGTCAGGGCTGGGAGCCTGGCCATCCGTCACCGCGGGTGTGCTCAGCCCGCATTAAACTCCGCCACCAGCCGTGGGCGATAGTGGGCAATCTTTGCTTTTCATCGGAGGTCGTGAAAGTGAACCAAGGCCCTGCTCTCCCGCACGGTGTCCGAGACAGGCCCCTCGGGCGGCGGGCACTGGAGCGGAGGCTGAGCCCGTCGTCACATGGCAGTTTTGTCAAAACTGCACATTTCACAACAGGGACAGGCTGAAGTCTCCGTCAGCAGGTGAGGATCACCTCCCTCTTTATTCTGCAGTATATTAAGGGAGGAAAAATGTTTAAAGTTTTAATCCAGTGTTCCTGGATTGGTAAAATCAACATCATTAAAATGTCCATACCCAAGGCACTCTACAGATTCAATGCAATCCCTATTAAAATACCAATGGCATATTTCACAGATCTAGAACAAATACTCCAAAAATTTATATGGACCAAAAAAGACCCCGAATAGCTGCAGCAATCTTGAGAAAGAAGAACAAAGTTGGAAGGATCACAATACCAGATCTCAAGTTATACTACAAAGCACTGTAATCAAAACAGCCTGTTACTGCCACAAGAACAGGCATATAGAGCAATGGAGCAGAACAGAGACCCCAGAAATCGACCCAAGCCATTATGCTCAATTAATATTTGACAAAGGAGGCAAGAGCATATAATGGAGTCAAGACAGTCTCTTCAATAAATGGTGCTGGAAAAATTGGACAGATACAGGAAAAAATGAAACCAAGCCACCAACTTACACCATACACAGAATAACTCAAAATGATTAAGGGACTTAAATGTCCCTTAAGTGAAACCATGAAAATCCTAGAAGAAACCACAGGCAGAAAAGTCTCAGACATCTCTCATAGCAGTATGTTTACAGATACATCTCCTAGGACAAAAGAAACTAAGGAGAAAATAAACAAATGGGACTACATCAAAAAAGGAAGCTTCGCCCTAACCGGTTTGGCTCAGTGGATAGAGCGTCGGGCTGCAGACTGAAGCGTCCCGGGTTCGATTCCAGTCAAGGGCATGTACCTTGGTTGCGGGCACATCCCCAGTGGAGGGTGTGCAGGAAGCGGCTGATCGATGTTTCTCTCTCATCATCGATGTTTCTAACTCTCTATTCCTCTCCCTTCCTCTCTGTAAAAAATCAATAAAATATATATATTTTTTTTTAAAAAAAAGGAAGCTTCTGCACAGCAAAAGAAACCATCAACAAAACGAAAATGGAGCCCACTGTATGGGAGAACATATTTGGTAATGATACATCTGATAGAGGGTTAATATCAAAAATATATAAGGAAGTTATACAACTTAACAAAAGGAAGACAAATAACCCAATTAAAAAATGGGCAGAGGACCTAAATAGACACTTCTCCGAAGAGGACATAGAGATGTCCAAGAGACATGACAAAATGCTCAAAGTCACTGATCATCCGAGAGATGCAAATTAAAACCACAATGAGGTATCACCTCACACCTGTCAGAATGGCTACCGTCAACAAATCAACAAGGGACAAGTGCTGGCGAGGATGTGGAGAAAAGGGAACCCTCGTGCACTGCTGGTGGGAATGCAGACTGGTGCAGGCATTATGGAAAACAGTATGGAGTTACCTCAAAAAATTAAATATGGAACTCCCATTTGACCCAATGATCTCACTACTGGGAATATAACCTAAGAAACCCGAAGCACCAATCAGAAAGAATGTATGACCCCTATGTTCCTAGCAGCACAATTTACAATAGCTAAGATCTGAAAACAGCCCCAATGCCCATCAGTAGGCGAGTGGATAAAAAGGCTGTGGTACATTTACACCATGGAACACTCTGCAGCTGTAAAAAAAGAAGGATCTCTTACCTTTTGAGACAGCATGGAGGGACCTGGAGAGTATCATGCTAAGTGAAATAAGTCAGTCAGAGAAAGACAAGAGTCACATGATCGCACTTATATCTGGAATCTAAGTAACAAAATAAAATGATGAACAGAGTGGATCCAGAGATATGGAAACATGGAACAGAGTGTGGAATCCCAGAGGGAAGATGGGGAGGATGGGTGAGTGGGAGGTAATCAACCAAAGACCTTGTATGCATATATGCATGGCCCTTTGACACAGACAGTAGGGCGATAAGGGCCTGGGGTGGGGGTGGGGGCGGGCTGGAGGGGTTCAATGGGGGGGAAGGGGACATATGTAATACTTTCAACAATAAAGAATTATTAAAATAAATAAAGTTTTAATTCAGAATGTGTTTAACTGATTTAACTAGTATCAGAATGTGTTTAACTGATTTATCTAGTATCAGAATGCATTTGTCTAATTAACTAGTACAAATTGATTCCTTAGAGGATGATGCCCTGAATAGCATAAGAAATTGGCCAAATAAGAGAGCCAGGCTTCAGGACACACTGAACACTTCCTCCTTAAGATCACTTCTGAGAGGACACTGGGGAAATTATTGCGAAGTTTTTCATGCACATTAGGGTTTCTAGGGAGAAAGCCAGGCAGTCACGCTTATTTAATAACTAGAGGCCCTGTGCATGGATTCATGCACCAGTGGGGTCCCTCAGCCTGGCCTGTGCCCTCTCACAATCTAGGACCCTCGGGGGATGTCAGAGGCCTGGTGCACGGATTCGGCCCAATCCCTGCAGGCCAGGCTGAGGGACCCCACCAGTGCATGAATCTGTGCACCAGGCCTCTAGTCTATACTAATAATCTATACTAATAAAGGGGTTATATGCTAATTAGACCGGATAGACCAGACGTCCTTCCTGACAAAGCCGGGGGCGTGGGTGGCCTGCAAACCGCCCGCAACCCCTCGCCCAGGCCGGCCCCGCCCCCCAGCGGGGACCCTCCACCCTGATTCAGGGTCCCCTTCAGGGCAGGCCAGCCATGCACCAGGCCTCTATCCTATATAATGAAAGGGTAATATGCAAATTGACCCTAACAGCAGAATGACCAGAACGACTGCTGGACCAGTCACTATGACGCGCACTGACCTCCTCTTGGTCCCTTTCCCCGACTGGCAGGCTCTGATCGCCTGATGGCCACCCACGGAGGGGGTGGGGCCGGCGAGCAGGTGGGAACAGCTGACCTCTCGGTCCCTTCCCCTGGCCGTCAGGCATCGATCACCAGATGGGGAACAGGGAACTGGGGGCAGGGGGTGGGGCCGGCTGCAGGCAGCTGGGGAAGATGGCCCTGATCTCAGGCCAGGCCTAGGGACGGTACCTGCCCATGAATTTCGTGCACCGGGCCTCTAGTATGCACGTAAGATCTTTGGTTAATCTCTTCCCACCCTCCCCCCTCCCCCTTCCCTCTGACTCATCAGTCTGTTCCATGTTTCCATGCCTGTGTGTTGAGCATCTGCCCCCTGGTGGTCAGTGCATGTCATAGCTTCCAGTCGAAAGGTCCACCGGTCCAAAGGCCCAATAGTCGCTTAGGCCTTCCTATATATAGATTGCCCTTGTACAGCTTCAGGCAGATCACTGCCTCACCTGTGCACTGAGGGTTCATAGGAACGCTCCGTGCTGGTGCCCAGGTTCACCCGGCGTCTTCACAGACTCGTCACCCTGTGGACAGTGGGTTCCGCTTCACCTTTTCTGAAAACTCCCGGGGATCCTGGGGTTGAAGGGCATCAGACCTCGTGCTGCCCACATCCCTCCCCTCTCAGGTCTCACAGACACAGGGCCAGGGTCCAAGCAGACTCTCCCTTCTTCCGAGGTCACAGAGCTTCTGGTTGTGAACTTGGCATTTGTACAAATAAAAAGTTTCCCACAAGACGTGGGAAAGTGAGCGAGAACGGAGATGCTGTTCTCCCACCAGGAACCGGAGGCGGGACACACGTCCGCCACGCTGAGCCTGGAGTGCTTCCCGGAGAAGGGAAGGGGCGTGCCTGCCTCCTCTCATCGCACTTGTCCCGCCTTGGAGATCAAGTGGAATGAGGCTTCTGTCCGCATCGTTGTCTGCTGTACTTTCATTCACTGCGGATGCTGCGCCCCCTCCTCCCGCCACGGCTCTGAGGCGCGGCGTTGGCTGCTCACACCGAGTGCTCTTGCCCAGGATGTCGTCTGTCCCACAGAGGGTGCGTGGCACCGCCGTCAGGGCTGTCTTTTGTTGCTCAATGGAGGACTCATTTCCCCACTGAGCCCTCTAGGTGTTCACGGCCTTCTGCGTGGCAGCCACGCGACAGCCACGCGACAGCCACGCGACAGCCACGCGACAGCGAGGGGGATGGCGAGTGTCCCATCCTCTTTGGTCTTGGGGACAGTAAGTGAAACACCACAACAATTGAGACCTGTGACAAAAGGTGGCCTTATTTACTCTCCTGAAACCAGTTCAGATTTTCACTTTTAATCACATTTCTCATTTTGAAAGCAACTAAATGCTAATTTGAACATAGTAACAATTCAAAGCCGGGCTGCTCTCTAAATTGTTTTGGGTACAAAAGCACATTGGGCAGGAGGTGGGGCTATGTCACCCCAGCACTGCGCATCGAAAACTCCTGTTCCCGTCTGGTGGGGGCCAGCTGCTGGGCTGCCTCCTCCCCCAGGACGCCGACCGGACCATGCGTGACTCAGCCGTGCCTGAGCCTTCGTGGTAACAAAACAAGTGCCCCTGTGGGCGGTAACTCTTTCCGGAGGCAGATGCACTGCTTCCAAGCGGGAGGTGCTTCGCCATGAGCGGGGCCCTCACTCAACCGGGAGCAGGGCTCACCTCGCACCAGCCCTGCTCATGGCCTGGACCCTGACTCTGCACTCACCCTGCTCATGCCAACCCGCTCTGGGATCCACGGAAAGGCCACCTGCTGGCGGTCTCACCCTGCGGCCCAGCCTGTGTAGCGGGTTCATTGATTGGCGTCTGAACCTCACTTCTTTTTTCTTTTTAATCCTCACCTGAGGATATCTTTCCATTGATCTTTAGAGACTGTGGAAGGGAGGGGAGAGACAGAGAGAGAGAAACATGGATGTGAGAGAGACACACCAATTGGTTGCCTCCACACTCACTCCCTGATCAGGGCCAGGGATCAAGCCTGCAACCCAGGTATGTGCCCTTGACCGGAATCGAACCCGGACCCTTCAGTCTGCAGGTCAATGCTCTATCCACTGAGCCACACCAGCAAGGGCTGGTCCTCACTGCTGATGCTGCTCCTGTCCCCTGCACAGCAGTCAGGAGCGCCGGCACGGGGCGTGTCCTGGTGGCAGTCGGTGCAGGGTGCGACCAGCACTCCCTGTGGCCGCTGTGTGACTTCCTCGTTCGTGACCATTTCCGAGCTCATCACTGTGAACCTGTCTTGCAGATGGACCATGACCCCAGGAGTCCGGCGTACATTGCCGCCCAGGGACCACTGCCCGCCACTGTGGCCGACTTCTGGCAGGTGAATCATTTTTTTTTATTGTTTTATTGCTTAAAGTATTACAAGGGGTATTACATTTGTCTCCTTTTTTTTTCCACCTTGACAATCCCCTGGCCTCCCCTACCCCCCAGTGTCTTGTGTCCATTGGTTATGCTTATATGCATGCATACAAGTCCTTCGGTTGATCTCTTACCCCCCTCCCTTCTGCCCCCTAACCCTCCCCGGCCTTCCCGCTGTAGTTTGACAGTCTGTTCCAGGCTGCTCTGCCTCTGTATCTATTTTTGTTCATAAGTTAATAATGGTCTTTATTATCCATAAATGAGTGAGATCATGTGGTATTTTTCCTTCATTGACTGGCTTATTTCACTTAGCATAATGCTCTCCAGTTCCATCCATGCCGCTGCAAATGGTAAGAATTCCTTCTTTTTTACAGCAGCATAGTATTCCACTGTGTAGATGTACCACAGTTTTCTAGTCCATTCATCTACTGATGAGCACTTAGGGTGTTTCCAGATCTTAGCTATGGTGAATTGCGCTGCTATGAACATATGGGTGCATATATCCTTTCTGATTGGTGTTTCTGTTTTCTTGGGATATATTCCTAGAAGTGGGATCACAGGGTCAAATGGGAGTTCCATTTATAGTTTTTTGAGGAAACTCCATACTGTTCTCCACAGTGACTGCACCAGTCTGCATTCCCACCAGCAGTGCACGAGGGTTCCCTTTTCTCCACATCCTCTCCAGCACTTGTCGTTTGTTGATTTGTTGATGATAGCCAGTCTGACAGGTGTGAGATGGTACCTCATTGTTGTTTTGATTTGCATCTCTCAGATGATTAGTGACTTCGAGCATTTTTTCATATGTCTCTTGGCTTTCTGAATGTCCTCTTTTGAAAGGTGTCTATTTAGGTCCTTTGCCCCCCATTTTTTGATTGGATTGTTTATCTTCCTTTTGTTAAGTTGTATGAGTACCCTATAGATGTTGGAGATTAAGCCCTTATCAGTGATAACATTGGCAAATATGTTCTCCCATGCAGTGGGCTTTCTTGTTGTTTTGTTGATGGTTTCTTTTGCTGTGCAGAAGCTTTTTATTTTGATGTAGTCCCATTTGTTTATTTTCTCTTTAGTTTCCAATGCCCTTGGAGCTATATCGGTGAAGAAATTGCTTCGGCATATGTCTGAGATTTTGTTGCCTTTGGATTCTTCTAGAATTTTTATGGTTTCCCCTCGTACATTTAAATCCTTTATCCATTTTGAGTTTATTTTTGTGTATGGTGTAAGTTGGTGGTCTAGTTTCATTTTTTTGCATGTATCTGTTCAATTTTCCCAACACCATTTATTGAAGAGACTATCTTGACTCCATTGTACGTTCTTGCCTCCTTTGTCAAATAGTAATTGAGCATATTGGTTCGGGTCGATTTCTGGGCTCTCTATTCTATTCCATTGATCTATATGTCTGTTCTTGTGCCAGTACCAGGCAGTTTTGAGAACAGTGGCTTTGTAATACAGCTTGATATCTGGTATTGAGATCCCACCTACTTTGTTCTTTCTCAGGATCACTGCAGCTATTTGGGGTCTTTTTTTATTCCAGATGAATTTTTGGAGAGTTCGTTCTAGGTCTGTGAAATATGCCGTTGGTATTTTAATGGGAAGTGCATTGAATTTATAGATTGCTTTGGGTAGTATGGACATTTTAATGATGTTGATTCTACCAATCCAAGAACATGGTATGTTCTTCCATCTGTTTATGTCTTCCTCTATCTCTTTTTTCAACTAGGTGACTTATTTTTAATCAGTTATTTTTCTGAAAGTGAGCTCTTACTTTGATTGTGATAACCCCTTGGGTGCAATTAAGCCAATTCAAACTTGTTTACAGGGTTTGTCAAAAGTTACATGATTTCAGAATTTATTGGGGGCCTTTAAGATATATATTTTTTGTAATCCTCACCAAGGATATTTTTTCCATTGTTTTGGGGTTGTTTTTTTTTTTCGAGAAAAGTGGAAGGGAGGGAGGGAGGGAGAGAGAGAGAGAGAGAGAGAGAGAGAGAGAGAGAGAGGAAGCATCCATGTGAGAATGACAACGTGGCCGGTTGCCTCCCGCACGCGCCAGACCAGGGCCGGGATTGAACCTACAGCCCTCCAGGCTACGGCCGACGCTCTAACCACTGAACCGCCAGCCAGGTGCCTTTAATGTGTTTATGATCAATCAGGTTTTCAAAACTGAGTCTGAAAAAAATCCCTTCAAGAGATTTAATGTTTTAAAGACACTTTTTAAAGCCACTTTACAATTTCATTTTTTGAAATACAAAGAAAATTAATCAGTGTTTTATTTTATTAAAATGTCTCTTATCTATTGTTTAATCTTATGATCCTGAGCACCGGGCGGGGCTCGGACATTGAGAATGAATGTTGACATCAGCCACTCAGAGCAAAGTCGGGGGCCGGGGTCCCCGCCTCCGTTTCCCTCACTGTCTCTGACTCTCTCTGCCTTGGGCCGCAAGTAAGAGGCGAATCGGCTAACCATCAGCCCTCACTCACCCCATGGCCTGCATGCTTTCCCGCCGCCCGTCAGCCCCCCGACTCTCCGCCTGAAGGAGGGGGTGCTCCGGCCTCACAGGGGTTCCTGGGAAGAGGCCCCAGGCGGCCGCCAGCCCCTGCCTTGTCAGTGTCTGCACATGCAGGCACCTGTCCCTACTTTGTGGGCAAGGTGAGCGACTGTGCGAGCAAATCCTGCAAAAAGGGAAGCCCCTGCCCCCCGTGTTCCGTGGATCAAGCGCGACGCCGTGGCGCGGGACCCCGAGCTTTGGCGCTAGGACAAGCTCCCCGGCAGGACACTGAGCTTCCTCCGCTCACACCT